ATATAGAGTAAACAACTAAAGAGTATTCAACTTCATAAATTGACTCGATGGTTACCACCCATTGACGCAATTGTTGAAGCATGTAACAGTGGAGGGAGATTTTCAATGGAAACATATTGTTCTATGCTTGTCAGAATGGTCTTGATAAATTCATTTCAAACTGCTACTGTATGTAATATAGCCATTAAATATAATATATAGCGAATAATATCTTTTAGTTGAATTATCTCAGTCTCTAATAAAAGGATGACGGTGAATCTTTAATAAATTTGAATTCATTATATATATATATATAAGCCATTGAATGGTTTTCTTTCTTAGCTAATCGATGACGATGTTACATAATAGACCCCTTAAGCATGGTAAGTTGTCTTGCTCTCGATTAGAGGTGGGGATCCGTAGCGGGACTTTTTCATATCTAGTTAAAGTAAATTGTTTTCGTAGTTTAGGTGACAAAGAGTCTGTATTTAATCATCAATGGTAGCCAGAATCTTGCTGTTTAGCGTAAGCTGGATGTTGTACACTTCGTATTCGTAATTAAGTAGAAGCATTGTTGTATTCAAAAAGAATGAGATACAATATTCATTATCGAGGATTTTATATTAATCCCCGGGAAAAAGTTGCTTCCTCAGGGAAAACTTCTATTTGTCGATATCGTTACAGACGAAGGTGTGGAACACGCTGCCTTATGCCTTATAAGTGACAAAAGAAACATCATAACCGAGTATATCTAATATTATATGGATCTCTTAACGACATTAGGTCTAGGTCCTGCATGTCCCCGTTAGGCCTACAAAGAAAATTAATTTGTGCAAGGTAACAATATATGTGAAGAAAATTGATAGATCGCGCTTACGCTAGTCTACGGCACTTCCTTTCATTTCAGCTTGACGAAAGAATCGAAAACCACTTGAGAATGCCGAGTGAAAGTGAACTCTTAAAAATGGTATCCGTTTAAGCTATCGAGATCTACTGCCTATGCAAAACAGTAGACATCGTCCGATTCCAAAATTTTGGAATTAAATCACTTTTTTTTTAAAAATATATTTTTATAATTTTTTTTTTTAGGCTTATGGAGAGTAATCGTTAGGAATCGTATTTATAGATGGCATTACATTTAACTAAGCTTACGCTAATAATTTGATTCATTATATTCGCTAAACGGAACACGAACCCCATATAGATAAGTAAATGGAAATATCCATTGACATTATCAGTTATTTGTGAATTCGGAATAAGTACTTATGCAATACATCCGGCTTCAAATGGCCTGGCAAAAAGTTATTGCCTTCACTATAACAGCATCAGCTCAAAAATAAAAACCAATATATATATATATATAAGATGCTGCTAACAGTCGAATTTCTTTGCTGCTCTTCCAGCGCACTTCATTATTGGCCAGGCCGAAGCGGACAGGCGATATACCCTGTTAGCAGTCCTTTTTATGACCTTTCAATAAGGCCCAGACGTATATTTCTGTGCGACCAAAGGATCATCTTTGCAGTTGTCAGTGAGTATAAAAGTATGTACCGTATTCCTGGCCAGTAAACACCATTTGAAAATTCGTAGAAGATAGCTCGAACGCTGTTCTCCTTCGAGTGACGTTAATGCCAGATTAAATTTTCATAGGGAATGCCTCTAGGCGTAAAAATATAGAATATACATTTAACCCAGCTGTGGGCTTACTTTTCGTATCATAAGCCTACCAGACTCGTACCCTTCACTTGCCCCATTTGTATCGACCAGGCCGTGTAAAGTCTAATGTCCCATCATGTGGCATTGCGACGGCCGTCGTCTTTTCCCCGTTCACTATCTACTCGTCCTATGCTGTATTTTCCGCGCAATTGCGTCTCTCTCTTTCTCTCTGTATTGAGTTCGTTTCGTCCTGACCTAATCGTGAAGCGATTTTTCTGTGTTTCTTATTTTCAACATATTGCAAGTGCAGTGATCGGCCGGTTTTGTTCATGTACCGCTTACCTCTTTTTCGGCTTTTGGCGACGGTCGGTAGGCAGACGGCGTTCCTCTACATCAAAATTGTATACACGCGTCGTAGTACTGGACGTATTAAATGTAAAAACGAGCTAAAAAAAGGGGTCGTCGCCAATTGAACGCGAAACTCTGTCACTAATGCACTAGTACTTCTGACAGTTGATAGCCACTTGGTGTCTCTGGGATACTTGCGCGTCGATGCTCATTCTGATGTTTTCCACATAGCACTATTGGTACGGCTATTAGCTTAACACCGTCATTTCGTTTTTTCCATGAAAGGTGCCTACGGCCGTAACCACCTAGTCCTAGCCTCACTTTTGCAGTACTCCTGTATTCCAGCTTCAGGCACTTGTTACATTTAGGCAGGGCCGCAATCGAATGGCCACACTAAGTGAATGCCAGATTCAGGTCTTCGCTTCGATTGGATGGGGACAGACGATGTGGTCATTGGGGTACTGCAAATTAAATACGTACTTGCATGTACGGAGTATGCTACACGGACAAATGGAGGTAATGACAGGTTCGATAAGCTAGTGAAATCGTTAGTCCTTTCCATTTCGTCCTACAGAAAAGATCGATTTATTTCGATACGCGTACGTGGAGATAATAGAAATGTGCATGTGAGACCCGCAACATAATAACAATAACATTCACGTATGTTCTCTGTATATCCAAGTATTCAGGGGGTGCTGTGCCCTACATGGGGCACTGTTATGAATTGAATACAAGAAGCAATATGTTTGGAAGCAGGCACACTTCTTATTGTGCCTATATTGTTCGATGAATATAAATTTAAGAAAGGAAAGCAGATATATAGAGGACGAATATCTTCGAAAGTATCAAGCGTGTATACGGCTACATTTTTTTCTTAAATATGTTCATTTAATTGTGTATAAACATCTCCATAAACGAGTTTAGTTATTCTCCAAGCGCTTGTTTGCTCAGGGACAAATAAATGATGGCGCGCCGTTCCATGAGCAGAACTTTATGCGGGGTTATTTTAGCTAAAAGTTGTCAGTTCCTTGTAAAAAAAAAAAAAGCTTGACACTGCTAGGAAGATATCAATGTTTACAACGCTTACCTTCAAAAGCAAATTCAGTTCTAAATATCAAATATATTTCGCTTTTATATTTAACGTAGTCAGTTTAACTTGAACATACCCAACTCGTCTTATTAAATCCTAAATCACCTAGTACGTTAAGCTGTATGATAAGATTAGGACTCTTGCTACTTTGACAGTTGGTACAAGAGAACTGAGATTAAGTTATGTGAGGGTCGGTGGGCCTTTATCGAACCTATATATTCGGAGTGAAAATACGCGAACGAGCTAATAGGCTCATGCAAAGGAAAGCTTTTTCAATCGCTGATACAGCCTACGTTTGTGTAATGAGTGAGCCCTGTATGACATGCGACAAGGCCTAAACGACGCTGGTCGTTTAAATCAACGCTGTTTCACCGCTAACAATCACAAAAAAAGTAGCAGATACAGTTTTATTCAGCCGCCAACGATGATCATCAACATTGCGGCATGTACTGAAGCCGCGCGGCTCGCCGTTTCGTGAGCCGACACAGCACGCCGCCATTGAGTATATCTAGCTAATCACCGATCGAAATCGTTTAACGTCTCACGGAAGCTCTTCAAATAGCATGATTAACTAGCTTAATTTTCGAATAAGTTACGTATGTAACTTATCAATGGTTTTGGATCATGCCAGAGTGTGCCAGGGTGTGCCTAGAAGGGACCTGAAGTCCAATCATTCGAATTTTATTAACGCCATTGGTGAACATAAGGAAACCCCTAACCAATGGGCGCGTTATTGTATGTACCACCTAACCTTATTATCAGGCCGATTTATAATTTGTGATGTTAAGACAGATCCATAGAAACCTTGAGCTCAAATCTGGTGACAGTCATATATATATATATATATATATATAGGTAAATCAAACTAGTGAAAATAACACGAGAAGAGGCATTACTTTGAGTTTTGACGACGGTTTTTGACGTGAACGACTAATATTGCACTGAGACTCACACGCGGTTTCGCGTGCCTTTGTTTCGTTAACTTAATTCGTTTAATAAAGTCGTTGGCGTACAATCGTAGTAAAGGACACGACTGCCAGCAAGTACAAAGCTCCTCAGTCCTAATGGGTCTGTCGGTCAATGCCTTCTACGCCATTGTAAAAAAGTACAGTTCATTTATCTATTTCTCGTTGGCGCCAGTGCAGCGCTTTTTCTTCGAGATAATCACTTGACGTCCATTAAGGCATAGTTGTATTAAGGAAAATATGCTGCATCGAGGCCTAACGGTAAATGAATGAATAAATCGTATTATTTCCCGTCTAGCCTAAAAGGCAGCGACTGCCGACACGAATGTGATCGTAATATGTTGCTAAGGGTTCGCTTGATCTTTGCGGTCAAATTTATGCCAAATGGACGGAAAAATACTAGCCTATAGTAATCACGATGATTTATGTATTTTCGGTTAATTTTTTCGTTATTTTAACAGAGCGAGATTCATTAGAGTAACGTCCAACATGAATATTTCACGGCGTAGGTAAACCTTAAAAGCTTCGCTCTTTTTTTTTTCTTACAAAATGAACACATGAGTCACCTGGTTATTTCAAGTTAAAATATGCCTAGGTGCAGTTATATGATGGCCAACATTAGAGATGCAATGCTTCACGGTGCCCTCGTTCACAACAAGTTTTTCCGCCAATGCCCTGCCAACGAAGTAAACATGATAGCCGTGTACATGAGGCCTACGCACTGTAATAATTCATGACGTGTACCGATTTATATGGTTAAGTGTTTTGACCAATCTTACAGTTATTGGCCTTGCTACTTCTAAAGGCCGTTGGCATAGACAGGCAACTGTACATGGGACATCTGAGCTTCAAAAGGTCATCACTTAATGAATGCTTTAATAAGCTCTATTTATCTGCCATGACGTCTTGTCTTCTATTAAATATTCAATTATTTATATCTCGGACGTATTGGACGTCTACGACTGTACATTTCTTCTTTTTTTTTTTTTTTATTAAGGAACATATACACGTATTCGTGCAAGCTGTGTGGTATTTATGTGGTTCGAAATAGCGACTTCCATTTACTTTCAACCAGAGGTTTAAATCCTCAAGTCGTCAACACATATATTTTGAACGCCGCAAGAGCTGCGGATAGAAAGAAAGCGGCAAACAAGACAGGGTTTTTTCTGTGCAAGGAAGCTTAGGTTTATTGCGGCACTTACCGCTACCATAGAAACAACAAATAACGAATTCAACAGCGTGAAAATGTAGTTGAGGTTCAGTAGTAGTTCTAGCATAGACGTAAAAATTTGCTCGATTTTAGCATATTCTTTGAGGAGGCTTTTTCTGCCACGGGTGGACCGCTTAGCGAAGACTGTTTGTTTGCTATTTAAATAGATGGCTTTTATGGGTTTACTGGCATGTATCGTAAGCTCGACTATGGCTCAAGTATACGCACTGAAGATATATTGGTTTCATAATATTATTCGATATTTTTTGTTCTGCTGCGAAGAGCGTCGATATAACGAATTATATACAGAGACGTTCGGTTATTTACATATCACAGCCATATGGTGTGTGTCTATGGAGTGAACATTGATCGAATTAGTACAGTCTGGTAAATGAAATATATTACTATGAAATCTCTTATATTGGCCATCTGTAGATAGGCTGAGGCACAAAGCATCAGTTAGTCTTCTTTGTTTTTCCACGGTTATTTTTGCTGGAACTTGAACAGTGTGAAAACAATTTACATTTGGGTAATTCGTATTGTTTCAACAGGTTATTCCATGTCAAATATGCTGGTCGAATTTATAAATATGTAAATATAAATTACGCGATGAATTTTTGTAGATCTTAGTTAAAACGTAACATTGTTATTTACAGCCTTTTTTTGTCCTGTCTGGTTGCAGCAACCGTTTTCATAATTGCAATCATCTGCGTGTATTTTCTGTTCACGTTGCCGACTCAAGGGGTGCTTTTATTTACCTGACCTCCCGCAAAAAATGCGCCTTTTAACAGGACCGAGAGAAATACAGAGGTGCTTCAGAGGGCCATCTACACAGCTTGGTACTACGATGTCAGATGAATGAAGCTTGCTCCTTTCGTCCTACTGATGGCGAACTGGCCCTCTAGGATTCTGTAGTCCAATTACTGATGTTTCCTTTAACATTTCTCGATTCAGATCAAACCTTGTTAATTTCTTAGTGTTTTCATTTTCTTTTTTAAGACTATTTTCACAATGTAAACAAATTATAGTAATTACCTCTTCGGTAAAAGATCGACCAAACCTTATTTAAGATAGTATTCCTATTAGCCACAAAGGCATCCATTGTGTAGGCAGTGCATATGTTCGCCGTATCAAACCACTATTGTAGAACCTGCAGAAAATGGAGCCACGTGTTTTACTAAATAACTGAAGTTACTGCTGTAACCTATTGGGACGACAAATCTGAGCTGGCATTTGTTATCCACTATTTCATACGGTTATTAATGTTGATCTATTCCTCTGCTACGACGAGACAGAGAGGGAACGGATTTTCATTATATATATGTGGAACTCAATCTATTTCAACTGCCGATACTGCTTTAGTTAGTCATTGCTTTAGATGACTGGGTTGAAAAAATGTACATATACGTCCGGTTTTGAATCTCACGTGTCCCTAAATGTGCTTAGTAAACGCGTTATCTTTGAACTATCACATGGACTAAAGGATTAAGCTTAGCAGTTACCAGCTGGGACCTGTCCCAAATTCGAAACGATTCCTAATCATGCAGTTTGACCAACGGTAATGTAATTTTAGTTGTTTTTTTGTAGTACATGCCCTATTTTATGCTGAGTCAAGAACAGTTAACATTCATCGATTCATTTTCATGGCTACAAAAAGGTCTTCTATGCACTTCCTGTTTATGTGCTCGCTTGAAGTTTGCTTTACTAGCGATGTTGAATGGAGCCATACATCAGGATCGGATGACGCATTATAGTTGTACTTGTAACCGAAAATGAAATCTAGTGTACAAGCGGCATCCGGTACTTTTCAGCTCCTATTTCTGTATAGATAAAACACTCGAATCTTTTTCTGACTTTTCTAAGGTTGTCGAGCATCTGGGGAACAACGAGCTCCCAGCCTGATACGCCAGCTATTCTTTTTGAGACTTTTTCTGAAGTGTTCGCGGTACCTACTTTGTCCTAAGAACGATGTCTAACTTAATGGCTGTCAATACACAGAACTTCGCGGGACGCAGAGGCATCATCAGGTGGACCTGAATGAAAACGAAGGAAGAAACTTCGGAAGTTGTATTAGCTCACCCGTCCAGCGGAAAATGTGATGCCAAGATACCTATCTATCCTATTATATTGCTATTCTCACCTGGCATTATTGTAGCCGATTCATTCAATAGCTTTTTTATTTTTGCGAGAAAAAAACAACTATTTTTCGTTTCGAAGTGAAACTTCTCTAACTTCTTGAAGTTTCACGCATGAAGAGATTTTTCGAAGCCTTCTAGGCATTTTTCAAGCACACGTATAATTGATTTCCCTTTTGAATCGTTCCATTCGCCACCAGGTGAGAAACGTTTACAGCTGAATAGAAATAATTTTCCTTTATTTTACAGGATAAGTATATGAATACGTTGACGGTCTCCTCTATCGAAGAGCGAACAATTTCATTCATTGCGTTTGTGTTAGTAAGAGATCGCTATGCCAAACATATGCAGATATGAGATTCAGAATCGGGATATCTTTAGAACCGTTGATGGTTGTAATGGGTCTACGATCAGATCACTTCTAAATTATAATTTATTTACACACACATATATATACACACCATACATATACGAATTAGTTTAATTCATGAACGTTTTCAGCCAAAAAGATAAGTTTTTATAGGAATCAAATTGGCGACCTTAAAATTTAGTTGGAACAACTCTTACGAGAACTCTGTTGTAAGCAAAAGCTTTCGAGGTGTTTTTTTTCTAATTTCATGCTACGAAAGCAAATGATCTAAAAAACCATTTGCCTTCGCGACGCGCCTATTGTATTTTCATGATTTTCACCATATAAATAGCGCACGGTCTGCGTAACTTTGCAGTGTTAACTAGCCGAAGACTTAAATCGACCGCTCCGTTTTTATAGCAACTTTATTTTACGGCAACATTTACGTCGCAGTTGGACTCGTCCGCTATTCTATCGTGTACGTGCACCGGCGCTTTGCTTATCACACAACGCTTCTATGACAGTGTTCTGAAGTATGGTGGTAGAAGACATCGCGAATTTTCTAGGGTCGGTTGGGCCTATTCAAGACCTTTACCGGTTGTGTTTTTGTTCGAACTCAGTTGCAGCCGCAGCTTCTTACAAACTGAATCGTATGAATTAAATATTTACAGTGATGGAATCTGCGCGATCATCTTATCTTATACGCTGCCGCGCGTTACTTGTATGCTTGGCGAAAGCAAACGCTCATTATCGTTGATTAAACGCACTTTATATAATAAAGCGCGTTTATATATTTAATTTTTTAAATAAAAAAATATATGTGTATCAAATAATAATAAGTGTATATAAAAATATACACTTTGCGTAAAGTGCATCAAGGTTAGGCCGCGCATCATCAGTTGTCTGTGAATGAGTTAGCAATGATAATAATACCAGTTATATTGTTTTTCATTCTATTATTGGTCACTCTCGCTGTGCGCCTTAGGCCGTCCGTTACCTGTTTTCCTGGAAACACAAATAGCAAGAGCTGCATGTTAACCGACTATGTCTCCATATCTGTGGGTGTATACCGTAGAAAAAATGACTGCGGATGTCGACCAGATACCAGAAGACGAAAGCCTATTTGTCAACTCCATTATACAAATTTCCTTATGTTGTGTTTAGGGATCACTTTCGGCGATGTACTTTCGGAGTGAAAGTACGTCAATGAAGCCTCTTTCTAGCAATAGCACTTTCTAACCGATTAGCTAGCACGTACTCTTGCGTATTTGTGAATTAGGGACCTAGCTTCAGGAATCTGAGAACGGGTGAAAGCTATGTACATATTAGGGTGACATTGCTATAGTATTTCCGAGTCGCTTGCAATCCCACCAACAGCGAGAGTGGTAAACCTTCGCCAATGAAAAGGTTTCCCAAGCATCAGCGGGTGGCCACTGCTGTTGTATTGGATTGTATGTGTTTCGCAAAGCTAACGACTTTGCCAACGTTTTCGACCAATCGTAGCTATTCGTAAGGACATCGTTCATTTCAACCTGGCTCTTTTCTTTAAAGAGAACTTTTTCTAACGTTCATATTTTGCGTTCTGATAATTCTAATTATAGTCAGATCCAAAGGATGCATGCACTTTTTATTTGTTACAACAAATTGCAATATCGTAGCAAATACATAAATTAATAGATAGATAGATTTGTTCGTCTGCACTTACGTACCGTTTGAGGACAACGCAACTACGCAATGCCAATGTGAAATGACCAAAATTTGGATTGAAAAGTTACAGCATGAGTACATGTGGTCGTCGTGTTGGGTTTTTGGCCGGAAACCCTACTATCGAAATCTGTTTTTAAGGCAGAGGTAGGATTAATAGAAGTTTTCCTAGCGTATCATCCCTTTGGGCCTAATTTCCGCAAGGACTATACCAGAGCGCAAAATACAAACATTACAAAAGGAAATTTACAGAATCGGGAGCTGTGCGATTTTCTTGACTGTCAAAGGTCTGCCCCGTGGGTTGCATCGTTGGGAATGGTGAATCGATGCGTCTTATCATAAGGCTCGAAAAGATGCATATCCGATATTGTCTTTTTCATTTAGTGCTGGAAGGACTCGTGCCAAGGAAAATAAGTTGTTCGCGATGTCGGAGGCAAACGGCATCGATAGGCCTAGTTTTAGCATTACCTTAAGCCTTACATATAACCAGGCTTGGTGAGCACGTTGGCACGGGACGTATTGACGATCGCCTACCGAACAATGGGGAAATAAACGCTTTTTCGTGTAAAAGGTTCGATATACACAGTATTTATGATTTGTCTCAATCGTGCCTCGTATTAAGTCTCATTTTGAGCTATTCTATTTGTATTGACCTATTCTGTGGTTCATGGCCGCAGGAAGCCCCAACAAGAGATTTTTAAAACAAGAGAAACACCACCTTAGTCTTTGATACCTATGCCAAGCAAATAGAATTTAATTCCAAGTTCCTAGATTCGGGCCAATAGATAAACTCGCGACTTTACCCCTTGCATGCCGTTCAATACTACGTTGATTGAAAAAGAGGTTTTTAGACCTTATGTTTTATATAATAACTCATTCATTTCCTATGGATTCTTCGCTAGATGAACTCGTAGCAACTGCTATCGGTGGTGCTAGCTTCATACTGATACGACCAAAACATTATTTCTCTTCCATGGATACATCTTTTGATCTCCAAGCAAGAGTATGTCAACGCTGTAATCAGCTTAGTCTTCCGCCAGAAGTGAGCTACCTTCAAATCTTGGATGACGATCATATTATCTTCCTTCAATTAACAGCGATTCATATGTCGATTTAAAGATATCTCACAATATATATCGTATATACTACGATTCACCATAGTTATGTATTTTGACCTGCTGTTGAAGAACCGTGAAAAATTTCAAGAGCTGAAAAAGGGGTTTTAACATCTATAGCAGCCAGTCCTGTTTAGACCCTTTCGTTATACTAGTTTGGTATAATAGAAAAAAAAAAAGTTCTTCTTTTATTTAATACAATAAGTTACTTTCGCATTTCTAGCGATACGTTCGGCACTACATGCTTACATCCCATGGGCTCAACTAGGTCTCATTGAGTCATCAGCTAAGGTTTACCGAAAGCCTTTCCGTAACAGAACTCGTGCATCCAGAATTTATTCGATTGAAGAATCGACTTGGGGTTGTTTGTCATTATACATATTTACTTAGGTGCACAAAAGGCATCATACACTAGCGATTGGATCGTTTCTATGTAGAAATCAAGCGTATGCTGGTGATGAAGACATGAGCAACGTTGGTCTTTTTCATGGTAAGCATTATTTCTAGCAGTAAGCGAGATGGATCGAGATGATATCACTTGTTCTGCGTATAGGAAGGGCTTGCGCAGTGAGCCTAAAAACTACAGGTTTATTTGTGAAGGATTTTTTTTGTCTCGTTAGTAAGGGTATGGACTTTGATGGAATATGTAGATGCCAATTTTTCGACCCACAACAGCAGCTAATTAGCAAGTATGAGTTAAATGAGAAAACTTCTCATTCACTTCTTAACTTCTAACTTAACGTATTCGATCGGGTAGATCAGGGGATATTATTATCGGCGAAAATTTCGACAACAATTGAAGTTGTGCATCTCGACGCAGGTGATGATGAGACGATTGCTTCACCAACAACGATTGAATACGCTTCTTGCTGGCACATGACAACTTAAATGACAGTACGCTAGCGTTAGCCTTTAAGGTCAGTTAGTAATCAATAGATATGTGAAACTTCAACTCCGATTTTTTTTCTCTCATAATTGAATAATTCTCGATAATCCACTAGATGGCATGAAATTGCCAGAAGTGATGACGTTCACAATAGCTTTCTATATATGGCGGCTCACCATGGTATCTTTGCCAATTAGCTCTAATAACCGTGCTGAGCATTCATTTTCACTAGGCTAGTGCTTCTTCTCTATCTGATAAAATAAACAAGCCTGTATTTCGGCACGGCAGGCCAAGCCTCGGTCAGGCACACCCTATTTTAATCATGACGATTCATTGCATTAGTTTGATTACAATACAACATTATATTAGTATTATTATACAGGCATAAGTAACTCGGTCAAGGTGGATTGGCTTTGACGATAAAGCTGCTTATACGAAGTCAACTGTACATATTGGACATTTCTCTAGTGTACGAGCTACGTGGCCTGAGTGATTTTCATCTGACGGCAATCTGCTCGCAGTTGATGTCGTGGCACCAGCGAAGACAACCTCTGGACGACACAGACTTTTTACGTTATACCCAATCATTGCCAATTAGATGGTGAAGATTCTGTACAAAATTTCCTACCAAGGACACTATGACGATGCTACAACTTCGAGTGCGGCAA